GTTGTTATGAAATTATTGGCAAAAATATCACAAAGAGCGATACTTCAAACAAATTTTTAACAGGAATTCCTACCCCTCTACCTCTCTATTTGCCGATGGTTGCGGCATAATATTAATTCTATAAATAACAAAATATGCTCACGACTGTATCTCAGATGGAGTAATTTGACTCATTCTTGTATTGTGTATTACGTGTGATTTTAAAGTTTTTTTATTCGTAATTAAGTAAGCTGTAATTTAATAAATAATTTTGTTTGATGATTTCTTTTAACTGATAGATATTATGAAACATAATTTTTTTTTTTCAATTTATATTATATTTTGTTAAACAAATTCTTAAATTATCGTAATGTGTATGTTTATTCGATTTCTATAGTATATTATAACAAATTGTGTATAATATGCGATTATTCCGTCGGTATCGGTAGCGGAGTCTCATATAACGGCCTCGAGCTTGCGTCAGTTCGAGGAACACGCGGTGTCGGCTTCCTAGTTGTGGTGACAGTGCACGCTGGCCGTCCCACCCGTTCCACAGTCATGTTCACCGCCTCAAACCGATTTTATTTCAGTGCCAATTTTAAATATCGTAGACATCTTTCTCCGGTCGTTAGTGGCCCATGTTTGCTTTGGTAATACATTATTTGGACTCTCCTTTCTCCTTTTAATTTACAGAGGCAACTATCGTGATACCTCGTTCGACGACAAAAGCCTGTGATTAGAATTGTCTAACTGGTAAAAAGTACCTTGTACCTTAGACGGCAATATTGTTGCACATAGCGCATGGCAATACAGCTTTTCTTTTTATGATGGAAAATGCTCACCGTCGCCTATAGACATCGTTGGTACATTGTGAGGTCCTCAAGCCTTACCATTCCCGAGGCCTATGTTGTTAAGCCTCCATATCCGTAGATAATTTCACTGCTACCCTTCGTACTGAAATACATAAATGTGATATAGTCACACAAACATTGGCGGGGTAGAGGTACCTGAGTTGACGTCTTTTCTACTAAATCCTGCAAAATCTAATTCAAAATAATCTCCCAATAAGGGGTTGAATAATAAAGATTCTTAGCTCTGAATGCAATGGCAAACTTGTTTTGATGAGGTAGCTTAAATCCTACCAATATAATAAATGTAACTATTTGTGAAGATATTTGGACGTTTTGAATATTCCTTAAAAGAGACTTCTAATTATTTTGATTTTTTGCTGTAGGTGTGCTGGTTATCATTGTTATTTATTTTACTTTAGACCCTTTGTACAAAATGCATGGAATATGGATGAAAGCGAAACTAAAACCAAAACAGTTGCACATCTTCTTTGTGCATTGGTAAAATTACCAGTACAAAGTATAACATCATTTCATGTTTTATTTTTTAATGTACCACACAATCTTATTTGTGAGAATTTATCTTTAACTTGACTCTATCGGTTAGAATATACAATAATACTATATAGAACGTTTAGTAGTGTATTTTTATTGATTTGTTTGCTAGCTTGAATAAATTAAAAAATCTGTGAATGCGGCTATTAAATAATAACATGTACCTATTCTTTTTGCAAAATTTGCAACTTTTCATATTTAACCTACTTTCCCTCTATGTCTTTCTCGTATCTCTCTTTCTGCATATTATTGTAAAGACAAAATTTGGCGATTAATTTGTTTGAAACAGTTACATGACTAAGATAATAGTAAGTAGCAATTTTAATGCACAGGACTTGCATTTGGAAGATTTAAAACCTTAAATACATATTAAATTTAATGTTTTCTAATACTATTTTTTTAATAGTCACAGAAAAAACTAACCATTGAAACATTAAGAGTGTACTAATAACGAGCTATCAATCTGCACAGTGCTATTTGGTTATGGGCAAAATATTAATCATTTCCGAGTGGCGCTTGAAATTTAAACTATTCCGTTCTCACGAATACCAATTCCCGCACAAAAGGTATTTTCGAAAATGTAAGTCAAGGATGATTAGTGTTGTGTTCTAAGAACCGTGGGACCGTCGTTTATCCTTCGCACGGCAAATAGCACCACACAGCCGACGTACATATGAGTAATACCGCACAGTCCGGTAGAAAAATGCTTGTCAATAATTATTATGATTTTGTAAAAGAGAGTTGTCCGTTTTGTAATAATTAATTGTTCCGTGAAGCCTGGGAAGGCGCCAGGCGCGACGCCGTACCATACATCAAATAAGTTACGCCGCATTCTCCGCCAGATAAATTTATAGGTTTACCTCTTCACACATTTCATTCATATCGTTTTTACAAGAATGACATTCTGTCTGGCTTTATGTGCGACTACGAATTTTAATGTGTTTTTTTAGGTAGATTGTATGTTCTATAAGCAGGTTTTAGATTCAAATCGACATTCAAATCTACATCGATCAGCACTAAACACGCATAGCGAATAGGTATTTCTGTCTTGCTCTAGTATCTATATATCCAATAGATGCTATAAAGGTTAATCTATCTACTAGAAATTAAACAATCGTGGATTACTTCAAGATATTAAACGTATTATTTATTACATATTCTATACAAAAGTTCCACGAGTCAGATTCAAACCATTTAATTATAAGCAAGAAAAATTTTTAATGCTGAAGAATCTTGTTAGTACCAGATTCTTATGAAGTTAAACAAATGAATGAAGAAGGAGAGCAACGAATAAACAGTCTTAGTGAAGTTCATTCAATTAGTGTCAGGATAGTCTGAGTGGGAGTCAGGGGATCAGGGGACGTCATTGAAGGGCCGATGGTGGCGCGAGTAGGGGCTTGCGGGGCTAGCGAGGCGTGCAGGGGGCAGCCGGGAGCAGGAATATTCAAAGCGTGAGAACGCCGCGCGACCCGCATGCCGCCGCTTCACATATCTCACGCGCAACTTCCACTCTCGACCATCGTCCGAAAACCCACTGTAATGACTGGACTTAGAGTTTCAATTAGCGCTGAGCGGTATTGTGGTTATCGCTCGGAACATCGAGGACAATACTTTTCTAGTTTAGGTACGGACGGCTGGCATTGGCCCGGATACTGTCTATGAGCGCGCACGTCCACTCGCCGATGTAATAATTGTACTGGAATATTTACCTACTGATAATTCGCAACACCTCATGTGCCCTGCCACGTTTGCTTGAATTCCAATATATTTCTTTTGAGAGGTATTCTATTCTTATTAGATCAGTAAGAATAGAATAAATGACTAATAGCGTTGAAATAGATGAGTTAGCTAACTCGACCCAACGAGTGATATCTTTTAATGCCTGATCTACCACAAATATCGCGTGTAAAAATCATGTGATTACGTGGGTACAAGCCAACAACGAGGTTTGGGTTCAAAAATAATGATCCTTTTATTGTTACAGCGTCGTTTATATGATCATGTATTGTGGGTGCTGTAATACTGTAGGCGTCTCGCAAGCCATTTTCTTTTGGCCCAGATCACTATGCCAATCTTATTTTTGCGGTGAACTCAATATTCTTGGAAATACAACATATCGGAGGGCAGGCATGGCTACGGCCCGAACACGGAACGTACTCGGATCGTCTCCGTGTCATCGTCACACCGGCGACGTCGTCGCGTCGCAACACTGCAGCGCACCATGTCTCCGCTCACCTTGTGACTTGGACGATGTATCCTAAATATAGCAATCGGATTACGTACTCGACGCGACAGTGTGACATTGCGAACGATACACGTATAGAAACAGGCCCATAGTTTCCTCAACATGTCTGTGAAATTGGGAAAAATTTTGTAGGGGGTCAGGGGCATGGAGTGACAGCGGGGGCCGGGGGTCGGTTTCGGCGGGGCCCCGGCGGGCGTCGACCTCGTGAAAGGCGCGCGGCGGCGGATCCGCGCACGCCGACCGCTCGCCTTTTTACGCGCTCTTTCCCGCACCGCCGCCGCCAACCCGCGGGCCCCTGGCGCGGTCGCCGCCCGCTGATAGCAAGGCAGCTACTACCAACCGATTTACTGTCTGCACCGCACCGCAACTATTTCTTATTTCTGTATCTATTTCAGTAAGGATATGATGTCAATTGAAATATTACTATGTAGTATAGGGACATTAAATTGTTCTATATATTTGATGACCACAAAGTATGTAGTACAATAGTCAAATTCATAACTCCTAACATTAATACTAGAGTTCAGGAGATTTTACAACATATAGTAAAAGAATCTGAAGGCTTTGTGGGGAACACTCAGCAGAAGACTTATTTCGCAAACTTTCATGGATGGAAATATTTTTAAAATTTATTATACGACTACGCAAACATTTTACCGTCATCAAGTTCTATGAAGTGGTAATAGACTTTCTGCAGACGACGAACAGTGTGATAGAAGAAATATGAAATTAAACAATTTCTTCAAAATATACGAGTATGTTAGGTTTCGGTGATATTACCGACGACTACAGATGGGCAAAGCACCGGGTTTAAACCCGGTGCTTTGGTAAAAACCCAATAAACACCCATAAACTCCCATAATCACCCAAAAAAATAGGTTTTTACGTATTTTTTTGAAAATATGTAAGTAATACCAATAAATTATTTTTATAAATTGTATTGATCAATTCTACAATATTAAATAAAACGTTAACTAATAATATTTCAGGAAATTTTAAAAATCTATATATAATAAAATGAAAGTAATTAATTTTCAGTGTTTTCATGTTGCAGTTGATCAACATGTTGGCCTTTTGCTTCCCGTAGATACTTTAAAATTTCTTCATAACACCTCGTTCGCACACATGGCCGTATATATTTAAATTCTTGAGCCACTAACAGTCCGAAATACTCATTTCTTTTATCCTCTTCTCCATAAATTAAGCATTTAGAACAGTTTGTTTCTTCTTTCAGTAAATTTTCTTTTACTTTATCCTCGTTTTTTTTCTTTGTTGCGACGACGCTGGGTAAATCATCTGGACACTGGGTCTCACTATCGCCAAATATATTTGGAGATTGGCTTCGGCTACGGCTTAGCAGACATTTTTTTCTTTCTACAATTTTAAATTAAATTTATTAGAATAAATGCTTCGAACACACGCGATCTAAGTACCTTTTGTGTTTATTATACCTTACCTACCTAGGTATAAAAAGAGTACTTACGTAGATTTTCTTTTATTAACTGTTTTATACGAAGATCTTGATCTCTCAAATTAGCATCCATTTTACTTCCAGTGATTATCAACTAAATTAATAATCCACAAAGTATTAAATAACGTTTTTATGAAATATTTAGCACAAAAACAATACCCTTTAAATATCGATCGTCAGTAACTGTGGCTGACTTACCTATATTCTAGCAAGCAGGACTGCCAGATGTGAAGAGGAAATCCCCAATAAATTGTTGCATGTGACTGATGATGTGAGCATGTTCGTTTCATAATAAAAATGTTGCCAGGTAACCAAAAAGTCGTATGTTTTTGTGCGAATTACGATCATAATCTTTACGATCGTACATTAAAAAATAGACAAATAATAGTATGAGTACGATTTAAATCGTATATCTGTCAACCCTGCTAGCAAGACAGCGACAAAATCACGTTGCATAACAATGTAGCCCAAGCTTATATCTTATGAAATATACGGAAGAGATACGGACTTAGAAAAAACAGAAATGTTGTTCTTTGTGGAAGTCATTGATGAAATTCTATGTATTTTAGCCCGCAAACTTTCTTCAAACAAAAACAGCGCCATCTAGTATCGAGTTCTGTAATTATCTCTTTGTTTATGGATTTGAAGTAAGACCGCCACGCATGCAATACATTATGACTGGGGATTCCCCTATTCGTCGACGCTGAATATGAGGCGACGACAATCACTGTCAAACGTGTTCACTATTACTCTGACTCTGGTAACGTGACTTCCTGGTAACGTGTTAGGTAGGAAAAGCAGTAAAAAAGTGCATATTAAGGGAGCAGATTTGAAATAATATTTATACTTAACAAGAAATAATTAAAGGTAAGTGGATTTTTGAATGATACAATTATATCATGATCACTTAACAATTTTAACTTAAAATTAGATGTATTATTACAAGCTTTTATTTAGCTTGCGTTATGTAAATAAAAGTATGTAGGTATGTTCGTATGTTGATGCAATTATCCTCAATCCTCAACCGACTGGGATAAAATTTTCCATACACGTTTATTTTGGATGATAGTGCATAGTTAGCTGAGAGTCGTCATTGGATAATAATGGTGGATAGCCTAAGATGTGTACTAGATATTTATTTTTAACATAATATGCGTAAGTACCTAATCGAATTAAAGAAGTTGCTGAGAAAAATACAGAACAATACGATAATAAACTAGCGTCTGCGTTTAATCCTCCGAGGAGATGTAATTTTACAAAGGTTTTTTGTATTTATTTTATTATTTTTTTTTTTTAATAAATTTATTGTAAATAACAAGAAATAATCATTGTAAAAAAATAGGCACTCTATTGTTGAATTTTCGTCAGACCAACTAATCATCGTTCATTTTTTTAGGTTCAATGGGGAGACCTAAAGATTTACGCATATGGGAGCACTACCGTACTTTACCAAACAAGTCTGTTTCTTGCAAGCTTTGTAATAAGGTCTACAAATTCAGTAATGCTGCCAAAATGCTTCAACATCTTATCACTTGTCCAAAATCTCCAGAAACATTAAAAGACTCTATGAAACTTATAAAAGATAGCTCGTCCAAAACCAAAATGTCTGGACTGTCAGAGATAGAGACAAATGATTCTTTTATAAGCCCCTCGTCGTCTGCTAACACTACAATAAATGCTGAGTTTCAAGACACCGATGATCATATAAAAACAGAATTAGCGAGAGCTATATTTGTAACAGGGACGCCATTATCGATGGTGCAACATCCCTTATGGATACAATTTTTCGAAAAATTGCAACCAAAATTTAAAATACCTTCACGTAAAGCTTTAGCGACAAAATACTTAGATAAAATATATAGAGAAATGCGTTTTGAGTTAAATGAGGAACTAAATGCTTGTAGTTACTTACACCTTCAGTGCGATGGCTGGTCTAATTTAAGAAATGAAGGAATAATAAACTTTCTTATATCAAAACCTCAACCTGCATACGTTAAAAGTTTGAATACAGAAAGTAATCCTCACACTAGTGAATACCTTAGCCAAGAAGTTGGAAAAGTAATGAAAGTGTATGGAGCAAATAAGTTTCTTGTACTTATTGGCGATAACGCTAGAAATATACAAAAGGCATTCGAATTAACAAAACTCAGATATCCACATGTTGTTCCTCTCGGTTGCTGTGCACATATCCTTAACTTGTTGTGCCAAGATATTGTAAAGATACAAGAAGTAACTGTGTTTATTATGCAAGCCATAAATATAATAAAAACTGTTAAAAGGAGTCAACGATTATGTTCCTTGTTGATAAAATCAAGGCAGGGTGAAGATTCTACACAAACACTAAAATTGCCTTGTGCTACAAGATGGGGAAGTCATGTTACTTCGTTAAAAAGTTTGAAAGCAAATAAGATAGCTTTGCAAATATTAACAGTTAGAGAAGATGTGGTAATTTCAAGAGATATTAAAGATTTAATTCTAAGTGATGATTTCTGGACGAAGACAGGGGAATGTATAAGTATTTTGGAACCAGTCACTGAAAGCATATTTTACTTAGAGAGCGACCAGAATCGTTTGCATCGCACATACATTACATTTAGAGATGTACAAGCTAAGATACGTTTTGCATTAAATGAGATTTCGACATTGAGCGAAGAAAGCAAACAGCAGATTCTAACATCAGTATCTTCAAGATGCAATATGGCAATGAGGCCAATACATTTTGCAGCATATATTCTAGACCCCAGGACTCTAGGAGTCGAACTTACTCAAGAGGAAGAACTTAAGGGTATGGAGTTTATCTACAATTTAAGCCAACACTTAAGTTTGTCAAATGTAATGGCAGATTTGGCGTGTTATAAAGCTAAAGAAAACTTTTGGGCCAGAGGATTTGTATGGAGCTCATTAGATAGCATTGAGCCCCTAATATGGTGGAAAGGTATTTGTGGTTCCACTGAGTTAAGCAAAGTAGCGATTCGTATTCTATCAGCTCCCTGTACTTCGGCAGCCACTGAGCGTTCCTTTAGTATCCAAGGCTACATACATAATAACAAAAGAAATCGACTTACAACTGAAAGAACTGAAAAAATTTCATTCATTTGTTATAACTGGAATCTTAAACATAAAGCTGAATGCGAGGACATTCAGTTTAATGAAGAAAATACCTTAGAAGCTTTCATTGAGCAAGTAAATGAACATAACAGTTTAGACGAAATAGAGCCTATCGAACCTATACAATTCATCGCTTGTAATAACTCTGAATCTGACAGTGATTGACTGTAGTTTTACATTTTACTTTCATCTCTTTCTTAATAAACTCAAAATCAAATTAAAAGTTTTTTATTCTATAGGCTGCATAATAATATTGTCTATGTCCAGTATAGTGGACGTCTTGCGGCTGAGATGACGATGATGAAGTACAAAATCATAAACACCCAAAAATTTGGGTGTTTATGGGGTTTAAACCCAATAAACCCAAAACACCCGGTTTTTACCCACCAGACTTTAAACCCACCCAGGTGGATTGCCCATCTCTACCGACGACTAAAAACTTACCTCTGTTTGCTATATAATAAACAGAGGTAAGTTTTTAGTTGTAAGGTTGCAACGACCCTCGCAGCTTGTTTTTGAACCAAGTCAACAATATAGTCTTTCTTTACTGCTTTGCTATATCGATCAAGAACATCGATCTTAGGAAATCAACTTTATCTTCAACATAAGTGAGTAATCTATATTCTAAGAGTTTTAGTGATCTCGCAGTCTCTACTTACATACATTCTCTTGATTTCAGCAAAACTACATTGATAATAGCATAGATCCTTAGAGAATACCAGCGGTAATAATAATGATCATGCAATCGACTTTGGTTATTACACATTTGCTGGACAAAAAGTTGGCAACCAATCTGTACAATTCCTCTGAAAGTTAGTAACAAAGTGAATTAGCAACTGGCTTCCATCATAGTGGTAGGCGAACATGACTGAAAGTCACATTTGGTGGTTTTAACAACTGACTAGTAAGTGCGACTCTTTAAAAGAAAGTCTGTTATGTTCTTTATAATGCAGTTTACTGATCTCAGTTGGCATCCTTTTCATGTAGTCGCTACTAGCGGTTTGATAATAAGATATATTGAAAAAGTTGAACGACCTAATGACGGAAAAGTAATGTATAGTTACGTAATATTGATTGTGTTTGTATTTTATGATAATTCAATTTGAACAACGAACGATGTATCTAATTTAGCGAGACAGCTGTTCGAGTTTGCGGGCCATGCATGTTTGCAACCTGGCCGTCGCTCCGCCGCCGCCGCTTCGCCCTAATTAAACAATAATCGAAAAACTACAATGAACGGGCGCGCGGCTCCGCGTCCTCGGTGTCCCGCGCCCCTCCCGCGCCTCAGGTCCGCACCCCCGCGGCTTCCTCCCGCCCGCACTCCCGTCTGACGTCACCAATGCACTCCTCACCTCATTATCGCCTCTTAGTTCGAAGGCGCACTCGCTGAGATCTGTCTGAATTGTTCACTACAAGGTAGGTAATTTGCGAACCGAATCTCAATTCTGCCTTAGAGTTCTGTGCGCAGATTGCAGCACACAATGTCTAACAAAACTCGAGAGGGGAATACACTTACAGCCGATTACTTTGCTTGTTTAATATTATCATATTAAGCAAGCAAATATATTATTACCTATACAGTTTACATTTGAATTGTCGACATTGTCGTCACAACTATTGTTACTGGGTTGAATTAAACTAGGTAGATACACCAACGTACTGTTAATATCAGTCGATATAGGCACCTCACTGCTTATTGCGGATTGTCGCGAGGCTTGAGGAGTTTGATTCAGCACAAATTACACAATTAAGAATACATGATATTCATTATTGTGTCTATCTGTAAAATTACTCACGAGTCTTATGTAGTCTGCTCTAGCGTAGCTACAAGTATTAAAACATTTTAGACGTCTAGTTACAGTACTTAGAGCGGTCTAAAAATATCAATATGCAGCAACGGTCCGTGGTTGGAGAAATGTTGTAGAGCGATGAACTCGGGTGTCGCGGTGTGACGTCACTGATCCGCGGCGGTGACGTAATGCTTAATTATGTTCCGCAGTCAACTGTACCTCCCGCTATACTAGCCAGCACTGTTGAATTGCTGTATGTAAGTACTCCTATACGTATTACGTTAATTACACTCTGTGTGCAGTCTAGTCAAAGCACGAGTGTTTATAAACTTTGAGTGGGTAAAATCTTACATCTCACTTCCGTCGGTGCATCTCTAAGATTGTAGGGTAAAGCTTGTGAACGACATAATTGTGAGGTTTTTGTGCATAGTCGCATCGCTAATAATAATGATCGGAAGTGATTCGGTCCGTCCGTTGGCACGCGCTCGTGACGTTGCGTTGCTGTACTGTCGTTGCTGGCGCGTCACCTTTATCAGTTATGTAATTTGCCACTTGATTGTCAGTCCCAGTACGGTAAATTAAGTATCTATATCACGTATACAGGAAATTAGAAAAGCAGATAAGGCGTGCACATAGTGATGCTATCGATTTATAATAGAATATAGCAATAAAGTTTGCAGTCCAATCAAATTGTTTTCATTTGGAAAGATATTTCTGAATTAATAATTACAATATTTATGTAGTAATTTGCATACTGTGATATCTAGAATTAAATCAAGTCTAGCGTAGTAATATTATATTGAAACTAAAAAAGTCAACCAAATACAACTTATCAGAAACACAAATGCGACAAACAGAAGTTCCCACGTTAACGCATAACCCTTCTCAAAAGGCCGGCAACAAACCTGCAATTTCTTTGATGTTGCGGTTGCCTATGAACAGCGGTAATCAGTTACCATCAGGTGAGCCGCATGCTCGCATAGGGACAAATCCTATGTCATAAAGAAAGATTTTTGCAAAATCATTTTAAGTATTCTTCTAGTTTTAAATAATCACACTACTATCGGCGTTTATTAAAACCTAAATAATTCATTTGTTGTCATTTTGAAATAATAGCGATTTATTACATTTTACTATTAATTGATGATTTTGTAAGAATAGATAATTGTAGAAGTAGGGTAGATTGAAGAATGTGAAGGAAGAGAAAGAGGTTTTTTTGAATAGAAACATTTGGCAGTTGCCTATCTATTGTTTCTGTCCATTTCAAATAGAGATATACTATTTTTTTTTCGTTTGTTTGTTGTAATTAGTGTTTATATTTTACAACAAAAATTGAGTTATTTAGTTTACCATCTTAGCCGAAGATTTATACATAGGATTAATAATTGTTTTCTTCACAAGTACACATAGTAAATGACATTAATTACTGAATGATGTCATTAGATAATTTCTTGCGCACAATGATGAAATTCGCATCTTCAAATCAATTATTTCAGGAGTAATACATGCAATTAGTATCCTTGTGTAAAGAAGCCAATTGCTATGTGGTAAGAGTACAATTCACGCAAATCTAATCTTTATATTCAAAGTCGTAAGGTTCTATTTTTTATGAATATACTCTATATAACATTTACTATCTTATCGTAAATATACCTATTATAATTGTAGGCTTGTATATATTACACTATGACTTTTTGTACTGCATTCATAAGTACCAACAACACTCTACCTATTGTATATATGTACAAGGCCAATTAATTGTCATGATAACGAAATGACAAATGAATGAAGTAATGACAAATAAATCAATACTAATATGCAATCTATTATAAATAAAAATAAACGCTGTTCGTTTGTAAGCGAATCATTTGGGAACCGGGGCCCAATTTGGCTATTTTAAAACGAATTCGTGTAAAAGTCCTATTATGATTTTAAGAGAAAATAAAAGGTAATATTTAGACCACATAGGACATTTTCTGTGTAGATTTTTTTATTTGTTTTGAATTTTAAGACAAATGTCGCATTGATTTAAAAAAAAAATTCAACTCGAACTGTCTGTTTAGAACTTGCGGTGAATATTATGTCTACATACGCGTCGACTAAGAATATTACGTACCAATTGAAAACTTTGGCCGTGCTGTCCCGGAATAGAATAGGCCACCCCTTCCTTTCTCGTGGGTGTCGTAAGAGATGACTAGGGGAGGACGAGGGATGGGCAGCAGCGTCCCTCTTGAAACATCTCTAAAACTTAATTGCGATTGCCAATCCGGCTGCCAAGCGTGACAACTACTGCCAATACCCCCCAAGGGGGAGGTTTATGTTCAGCAGCGGACGATTAAATACTAATATGACGATGATGAATTGGAAACTTGAATTTCTGCACATAATTATTGTCTATTATTATTTAATTTTATTATAAACAAATTATGATCCATATGTGACATGGATGTCTATAATAGGAAATTATTTTTGGAAATACATACTTATAGTAATTATATTTTTCATTCCATTTTTCTTGAGGACAACACCAGAGGGAGACTTTGTACAAAAGTCGATTGCTTGGGTACCTCTTTCCCATTCGTGTTTACGTTTCGTTGTTACCGTGAAGTAGTTGTATTTGCATGACTGTGTTTCGGTTTGAACGGTGGGATATGGCGTGAATTTACAGGGTGCAGAGGAATAACATCTGAGTCCTCAGGAATGGCAACGCATGGGGGGTATCATGGGCGAAACAGTATACTCTGTTATGTCCATGGTACTGCTCATGTCTATAGGCGACGGTTATCACTTTCCACCAGTTGGGCCGTCAGCTTATTTGCCATTCTAAGTTGTATAAAAAAAAATCTTATCAACTTATATTAATCAAGGAATTTTTATTCTTTATCTCCAACCATTCTTTAATGTTCATTAAATCTATTTCCATCAAAAATCTGTATTCTATTTATATATTAATAACAAAGAGTACTAAAGATTGAAAGTTCCGTGTGGGCAAAGCCGTGGAATTTCGTTCGTTATGTCATAATGTGACGAATTTGCCAATGCGCGGTCCAACAGCGTTGTAGTGTTTGTTAATGTTGAGTAAATAGCTTACTTGTATATATCTACATCGCGCGTATAATGACATAGTTTTATTATGGTGGGCTCGCTGACTGCAAAAATGGTGTCCGAGTTACTTAAGACAAATGATGCTTATGTATTATATCTTTTTTTTTTTGTACGTAATATTAAATTATCTATTATTTGCTGACTTTCAATATAGTTAATAATCGTAGGCATATTAAAGGGGGGCGAAATGGGTTCGTATTCTAGGGTCGGTACTCCAATTGTCTAGTGCCCACCTCAGGATACGAACAGAGCTTTCAGTTTAACTTCACTTTCAGATGTAAAGTGGTCACTGTCGCCTATAAATATGAACAGTATGGACATAACATGT